CTAAGATCTTCTTAATCTTTTCTCACTATTTCCCAATGGGTAAAAAATAGCCCCAGATATCATATATCTCTTCTGTAAAGTCTCAGGCTCATAAATCTACCACATCTCCATCTGCATCAGGTTTCTGAGATGCCATCACATGTTTTTTTAACCTCTTTGTGTCTCTGCTGTTATGTATTTTAGAAGCATCAATGAGGATTTCTTTGTTTGCTTTGTTTATAGCAATTTTCAGGCCAAAATCTAGACTCAATTAATCAGAACCACCAGGTAGGCATGTAATCATTCATATATTTATTAACTCCCCTGATAAATCACATATACAGCCAGAATTAATACAAAGTGTTTTGCTATAAATATTTATATCTTTCCATTTTCAACTCACCACTTTGGTGGTGAACAACATGGAGAGCTTTGACTTCAACTCACTTCTGACTCACTCAACTAAATAAATAGTTTGGAAATACTGCTGTGGGGTCATGTAATCCCCTGACTTTCCTTATCCTTTTACCTTTGTCTCAGCATTTTGTCCACCTACTATTAAAGGTGCAAAGTCCTAAGAAATTTTTCTTTATATTTGGATATCAACAACTATGGTCATCGACAACCCTTTCTCCCTGCTGCTCAGCCACCTTCAACTCTTTATAGGTACTTCAGAAATGATCATACAGTATAATGCAAATTTAACTGCAGCAGAGAACATATGAAATTTCTGTGCCTCTCTAATTTATCCATAGTACTAGATGCCTAGGAGAAACTCAACCATTTTATTGAAAACAAAACTGTAGACCCAAAAATTCCAGAAAAACTTTGATAAATGAGCAAGTGGATAAGGTAGGATGGGTAGTTTTATAATTTTCCCTATGCATGTACTTTTAGAGGTTTGTACAAATTGTTGAAAACATTTATATAGAACTTACTCTGAGGGAGTAATATTTATGTGTAGTTTAGATTATTCCTCTACTTCATTTAAAAGTAACTGCTCCCAATATCAAAATAGAAGCTATTAAGTCACAATGTTAATAGTTTCCAAATTCATACTTAAAGATCTCTGTTCTCAGCCAAAATAACATCAAACTTTGGATAGAAATGACAGTGAATTTCTACTCTCAGTTAAACAATCTAAAAATCACATGATTATCCAAGGTTAATGCCACAGTTATTGGCCTCAGTGCTGTTCCTCTTCTCATTTTTGTCTGTACCCTGTATGATGACAATCTGTGATAAATGCATTATTACTTGATAGGTAGAAGAGGAGTCATTAGTTAGAAACTAATAGAGGGAAAACATAGAAGTACCATAGTGCTCAAGATGTCTCAGTTCAGCAATGCCATAATAGCAGATTTTATGGTATCCACTTGAGATCTGCTTGATTAATGTTAAATGTACTATGATTAATGTTAAATGTACTATAATTAATGTTAAATGTAAACTTCAAATTATGAAAGTAAATTTAACTAAATTTAGTATTTAAATATGTTTAAATGGAATGATAATCTGATACTATTTGGTGTTTAGTAATGGAAAGGTGAACTTATCTCCTTGGATATTTTATATCATTGAGAAGGCAGAAGAGCCAAGAGAAGAAAGAGCCCATCTTTTTGCATAACACTACTAGCCTGCTTTTCTTCTAGAACACAAAAAGTCTGTCTCTTAAATTTCTTTCTCCCCAATAGGTTGGTAGGTATATTTCTTTCAGATGGGTTTCAATGCTCCATGGACAGAGAATTTGGGTCACTAAAGAGCTTAACCACTTAAATTCTTTTTTTTTTTTTTTTGTATTTGTAAAATGTTTCACTCATTTGGAAACATTTCCATTTCAATTTCTACTTTCTAAGGATGATATAAGAATTATATGACATTCTATGTGCGAAAGCTCCTGGAAAGTTTGACAAGCATTACAAAAACACAGTAAAGTTTATAGCATTTTTATTCTTAGATTCTCCCTAAATGCATGTTCTTCCTGTTTGTAGGTCATTAAATTATCTCCATTTTTTTTTCCCTGAAACATGAGGAGATTATGCTAGAGCTATTCACCTAGATCCAGTTTTTTCGAGCTAGGCACTATTGCTATTTTGAGCCATATTTAATTTTAGGGACTCTCATGCACACTTCAGGAAATTTAATAGCACCTTTAGCCTCTACTGAATTGAATCCAGTAGCATCTTTCCATTGTGATGAGAAGATATCTCTAGATCTTGCAAATGTCACTTGGAGGTGGAAGAAGGGCAAATAAGCCCCATTTGAGGGCCATTTACTTATAAGATTATTTATGTGTTATATATATAAACATTCATTGAAGAAAAATAGTGTTGATAATGTCAAACCCATTATTAAAATCCTGGTTATTGTTAAAATCTGATTAAAAAGGTAAAAGGCATATTAAGCCAAACACCATAAAAAGCTACACCCCCCAAAAAATTATCAAGGTAAAATCACAGTATTAAAAGTTCATACCAATTGGGTAAATGAATATGATCAAATACCAGATCATCAAAGCTTACATTCAAGAGACAGATAATTAAGTCAATTTGAAACTAATCTTTCTCCTAAATTGCTAAAGCAAAAACTGTAATGTCATCAGAAGATCCTAATCAAGTATGTGTGTGCGTGTTTGAGATGATCAAGGCTTAATTATTTAACAATAAAGAATGAAAACAATGGCTCAGACTCTCAACAGATTTTGAATTTTGCAGTCAGGTCTTGAATTCCCATTATTTAATGATAATGTGTCAGATTTGCAGTAGAACAAAAGAAGAGAATACCATTTCCTCACATTTTATGGGTTTTATTATTGTCATTTTGGCAGTTCAAGTAACCAGCCATCTGGTTCCTCTGGAGAGGCTTAAGAGTGGTAAGTGTGCGCCACTGTGACGTCATCCTGAGCTGAAAGCAATGATAATCTCCCTGGTCCCACTAGAGCCAAAGATTAGTGAGAGAGGAAAGAAAGAGAATGAGAATTTTACTTCAAGGTCAGGGAAAGGCAAAGCAAAGACAATGAGGGAAGATATCCATGCTACATTGTCTAGTATTTTTACCAGTGATTAAGTTCATTCTTAACTCTTAATTTATTATTATTACTATTATTTTGCTTTTGGAAATGAAAAATACTTTATGGACAATGAATGCTTGTAAATTTTATTTATTTCTCAGACATTGAGAAAGTCACTAAATATAGGTAAGTTAGACTTTAATTCTGTCTTCTGTATCATGTAATCAAAAGGTCTAATGTTGAATTTAATTTTTCTGTGTACTTTGCAACTACTAAACCAATGAATAACCCAGTTACAGGTTCTGCTCTAAGGGAAGATTAAGCAACATTTGTTAAGTAATAGCAATAGCAGCAAGCTACTGCTAAATGAGATAACATCATCTAGCATCAGGTTGGGAAAAACTGATCATATTGTGGGAAGTAAGTTTGAATGTAGGGAATCTGTTTGCCAAACAATATTCATTTTGATAGTGATACTCAAAACAGGAAAGAAAAGAGGGTGAGGTCAAACAGGGAATAGAAGAAAATTTAGGAAGCTTTAAAAATCACGCAATCATCTAGGCATGAAACTTAAATTGAAAATGTAGGGGAAAAATTTGAAAAGGGGGGGCCCTCCCTGGTGGCTCAGCAGGTTAAAGTACAGAAATAAGAAGCTAAAGCCACTTCAGCTTGAGTTCGATCCCTGCCCCCCAGTGGTGATCCACATGGACTGGTAGACCTCTACTGTCTCACCTGTTGCTCCCTCAGCAGTGTACCTCATCAGTCAGCCTGTTCTGCTCCCCACTCTGTCTCTGGTGAAGCCTCTCACTGCCCCTGCAACTCTGGCCTGTACCCCAGTTCTGTATACATAAATGAATAAGTTAAAAAAAATTGAAAGGGTATATATGAGAGACATGATAGAAGGAAGACCAATGTTTTGTAGTGAGGAGAGTTGGGCATGAAGTAATTTAAGCCAGGAGTCAGCCATTCCTGTGGATCAAGTTTACTGAAAAGTCAGATTAAGATGAACTGATTACTGGGCTTCATTGGTGGCACAGGGATTAAAGTCTCGACTAACAAGCTATCTTCAGTCACTGCAGCATACATTCAGTCCCAGGCATACATTCAGTCAGGGAGCTGACTCACATGGTGAAGCAGATTTCTCCTATCTCACTTACTACTCCCCTCGGCAGTGTATTTCATTAGATCTGCCTCTACTGCTCCCTACTCTGCTTCTGGTGCATCCTCTCTCATTCACCCCCAACTTTGTAACTCTGGCCAACACCCCAGTACCTCTTCTTCTATGCAAATATAAATGAATCTTTAAAAAAATAATAAGCTGATTTCTTAGAACAGCTTGACAATACCTCTATTATGAAATCACTAGTACATGTTTAATTGCATTAACTATACTAGATCTTATTTATCTTGCAGAAGCCCACTCCTACCACTTATTACCTTACTTTTACAGAAAAAGATCAAGTACAAATTCCTGTTTGTCAAAGTTCCAAAAATTAAGAATCCTGAAAATCTGAGACAAAGGTCAATCCTAAAATATCCCCATACACTTCTGGATTTCCCACTATCTTTATTTCAGATCATTCCAAGGTGGTGAAAAAGCACATCAGGTCAGAAGGGACAGAACTAGAGGTCATCTATACTCTAGTTGAAAAGTCAGCACAAACTCTGCATCCTCCAAAGACATTCCATTTTCCTGGCCCTCTGTATGGTGCATGCAATGATTTGCCAGGCTTGAATATGCTTTCACTTTTACTTGTCTCGGGGTATCCATCTAAACAGGTAATTTTCAAATCAAAACACTGGCAAGTTGATATCTCATACAGTTTTTCCCTTATCCAAAGCAAATTATCTCTCCTGCCTCATGTATTATCCCTCTCACTAATATATCAGGAGATATATTTCCCATCTCACTCAGATGTCTCCACCTCAAAGCTTAACCCTTCAACTTCCTGCCTTCAAGTCTTTGCTCTTTCAGTTTTCCCCCTTTACCAGAATGTTCAGTTCTGCTTACCTTCAATCCTCTTTCTTTGCTGTTTCCATTTTCCTATTCTCTGTAAGCATACCTTGGTCACCTTTTATCTGAAGAGAAAAATAATAAGAAAAATAAATGGTTATTTCACCAACACTTCTAGTTTTTAGAACAACATGATCCACAGGCCTCTCTGTGCCCCCTTATCTTTCATCAGTCTAGTTGGTTTCTTCTTCTATCCTACTCCCGAAATTAAATTCTGAAAATTTATCAGGAAATTTCTATTTCTTCTCTCTCAAACTAGCCGCTTCTGTTCTTAATTTCCTTCTTTGTAGACGATTCCAATACATTCCAAACTCCAATTTTTGGATCTTCTTTAACAGACCATTTCAAATTCCATCAGTCTCAGGGCCTCTCAGCACTTTCTCAGCAGGGCTCTGGTATTAATTACTCCTTTCTTTGTTCCTCCTTCACCATGCTAGTCTAAGTGTGCTAGGGAAAACTTGAATAATCTAACTAGTAATACAGCAATTATTCTGGGCCATTTGTCATTTTATCATCATCTACTTAGAGCCGTATGTGTACATATGTAAACATACGGGTTTGGGAAACTGTCACTAGAAAAAGATGGTACAGCTAGAGGCAGATCATTTCCTTCCCTTGGGGTAAGTTGTGTGTGTTATAATTATGGAAATAAATCAAAGCATATGATTGTCTACTGTCTTTGGGTTTTTTTGCAAAATGTCATAACAATTAGTAATATCTCTGCTAGAAAATGTATAAATGCCCCCTTTCTGCTGTCCAAATGATAAAAGAAAAGTTGTCATTTTATGTAATTGTTGCTAATCAATTTAGGAATAAAAGCAGTAAGTTGGAGACTTCAGAATAAGACATGCTGTGCAAGTTTTGAGGGACCAGTGAGTAAAGCACAATGTAACAAAGGAATGTCTCACCAAAAGGAAAAAAGCATTTAAAATCAATTGTGCCTACTTTATAATTTTTCTAAAGACAAATAGAGTGGTCAAAGATGCAGCTCAGTGACATTCCTGAGAACACACCCCCAAAAACTAACAGCAGAGCAAAATAAAAATTAAGTCTTTACTAAAGCACAGTGACAGACAAAGGCTTCCTGTCAGCTACTCATTTTCATTCAGACCATAAGCTACAGGTGTGTCTTGGCCTATGTTCATTCATTCTCAGGAGTTTTTTGTACATCACTAAAATGGAAAGTTTAGCCCATCAGTTATTTACTGTTACCTCACTGACAGGACATTGAAATTGTTTTACTCAATGTTGGTTCTAGATAGTTTAGATTCTTATGAAACCAGTAAAATATATGTTTAATTAAATTAAACTCAGGTTTCATTTCTATCGATATCACAAACACTGACTGATGGAAAGTGGGGTGGGTTAGACTTTGGCCCACACGGAAAATTGAAGATTCAGGCTCTTTACATCTGCCATGCTATCTTCCCTCTAGGAATAAATGAAAAAAGGAGGATCACTCTAGGGGTGTTTACAATGTAGTCCTCCAAGTGGTCATATTACTTCTGCTCATTTTATATTGGCCTGATAACAGATTCATAGCCACAACCTACAAAAATGGAGGTTGGGAAAAGTGTCATAGCTATGTACCCAGAGAGAAAACGCCTCGCACATTGGTGAGCACAATTAGTCTCATACATTATTAAACACTAACAAGATACTGTGGTAGCCAGAAGGAAAGTATAAATACTAATGTCAGTGTTATCAATGAGTGTGTGTACATATGTGTTATCAATGAGTGTGTGTACATATATATATATATATATATATATTTAAATACCTCAAGAAGTATTATAAACTCAAATCCAGCAATATGTGAAAATACTGCATTCTATACCAAGTGAGACTTATCCCAAGGTTGCAAAATTACATCTGGAAATAAATTGATATAACACACCATACTGATAGAATAACTCACGAAAAAGCACATTATCTTCTCAATAAACTCAGAGAAAGAATTCAATAAAATCCTATGCCCTTTCATGATGAAAACAGTCAAAAAATGTAGGAAAATAAGGGAATTTCCTCAACTTGATAAAAGGGGCAGGTAGAAATAACCCAAAGTAAGCATATTTAATTGTGAAAGTCTGAGTACTTTCCCCATAAGATCAGGATATCCAGTCTCACCATTTCATCCAGCCTTGTACTGGATATTCCACACAGGGAACTGGGCAAAAGCCTGAAATAAGGCATCCACATCAGCAAAAAATAATCAAAACTATCTCTACTTGCAGATGGCATGATGTTATACACAGAAAACTCTAATTAACCTACTAAACATCTATTAGAATAAACAAGTTTAGAAAGACTATGCAATAAATGATCAATATTTAAAAATCAGTTGCAGTTCTCTACACTAACAATGAATAATTTGAAAATGAAATTTAAAAAGCAGTTCCAATTCTAAGTCTGTGGGAGTGGAGATGCCACCTCTTCCACGTTGTTGCAACTCAATTACACCTAACCAAGACAAAGATCGCTGGATGATGAGCTATTGTATGGTCATCAGGGGTGAAATGGTGGAAGGGGTAAGAAAAACTTGACTAAACTGTTTTTGGAGTGATGCAGGGGTGATAAAACCTGAGAGGGAGGGGTGGCTACTCTGTGGGGCCTTCCTATTGTGGCTGAATCTGGGCTCGTGCCCACACAGGGACTTTAAGACTTGGGCACCATCTTGGAGAAGGGAGGGCATGGAGCTAGCACACAGGATGCACTGCTTGACTCTGGATCCTAAGAGTAGAAGCAACGGGACAGGGAGGATGAGTGTCAGCAGTGGCTCCCACAGGAGATTATCTGGAGCCAGAAAGCTGTAGGAGGAGACTAGATCTACTGCTCATTTGTGTCTCCTTACAGAAGATGATGTCATGTGTGACCTGTGGCCGTGTTATTTTACCCCATCCTTGGGTCGAAGCCTAGATGATATCTAAATGGTATACCTACATGAATTTAACTAGAATTTGAAACATCTGGGTCCTAAAAGCAGGCACAGCACCCCAGGCAGGGCTCTAAAGATGGAGAGAACTAACACACAGATTGACAGTCCAGTAGTTTATCATTGCTCCACCATGGCTCAGAAGTTCAGACTGATACAAAATTGCTCTAGAAGTTTTGGCTGAGGAGTTAGCCTAGGATTGGGGACCACTGTAGATCCTCACTATCCAACTTGGGTATCATCAATACTTTAGGGAAACCCAAAGTCATGCTTTTTGTGGAGATGACCTTTTGGTGCCCAGCTGCCCTGGTTCCTATCTACTAGCCCTTCTTGATGCCAGTGCCCCAACCACTCTAATAGATGAAGAAGCTTCAGTCTGTGAAACAAGAGACACCTGGAGTTCTTGGATAAAAAAACAAAAACCTGTGATTATTTATAACTGTAGGCATGGTACAGGCTGATTTAAAACAAGATAAGGAGGTTCTTTATCTCAACCCATAAAGACTAAAAGTAAACAAACATACCACAAATGCAGAACAAACAAACACAAACCCAACAAAAATAACAATGACAACACCTGAGATGTCAATCCAAGCTAGATGCCAGAATTCTCATTTGTTACCATCCCTCAACTTCCATATTAAAATCCTTTGGCATGTATTGTTGAATCTATCTCCTAAAATATCTTGGGCTTATCCAGGTTTCTGCCTGGAGAGCAGATAAAATTAGTAGTGGAAAGAATTAATGAAATTGGAAACACAGTGATGGAGAGCAGATAAATAGAACAACAAAGAGAAATGTCTAGGAACCAGCTCTAAGAAATCAAGTACAAAGCTTGTGCTCTGAAAACTAAAAAATATTGTCCAGATACATTAAAAAAGACTAAAGTTAATGGAAAAAGTTTCCATATTTGTGAATCAGAATATTGAGATGGTGATATTCCTTATATTGACTTACAGATCCAATGCAATCCCTATTAAAATTTCAGCTACATTTTTTGAAATTGACAAGCAGATCCTAAATTTCATGTGGAAATACAAAGGCTTTTTTTTCTCCAAATTTAGTACAAAGCACCATACACAAATATACACTGAAAATGTATCAACTACATACCTATAAGTGAAATATAATATACCATAAAATGAACAATTATGTGGTAATAAAAAGAAATAAAGTATCAATGTATAACACAATATGGGTAGTTCATTTGGAAACAGTTTTTAAATAAACTAAACCAGTTGCAAAAGGCCATTTATATGAAATGTCCAGACTGAGCAAAATTATAAAGGCGGAAAGTAATTAGTGATCACTGAGGGGTCAGGGTTTATTGGGAAGTAGTGAGTGCCTGCTAATATAGACAGACTTTATTCTGAAATGATGATCATGTTCTAAAATGGATTGTGGTGATAGCTGCACTCTGAATTTACTAAATACCTTGATTGTATGTTTTAAATAGGTAAAGAGTATGAATTATATCTCAATAGACCTATTTTCAAAACAAAACTATTAAAATAACAAGTTGGTGTGGTACCATAGTTGAAAGTTAAATTCTGTTTGTTTTATTTTTTTCCTACCATATAGAGTATGTGCCAGCATTCTGGGCATGTAGCAATCTATGAGCTTCAGGAAGACCCATGCAGGGCTTCCCAGGGTCTGGTTGAGCCCTATCCTGAACAGGCTGTCTACTGATAGAAGCGAAATAAGTCTGCAGGCAATAACTGAGAAAATCCCAGACTTTGAGCCCACAAATCCACAAATGTGCATTTCCTGGCATTTCCTATTGGAAATACACCCTGCAGTGTCCACAGTAAATAGCAAAGATTTCTAATTAATTTTTTCTAGTGCTCATTTTTACCAAGCTTTAACTTTACACCTCTGACAACCCTGTTTCAAAATCTCAGTTCCAATATCACCCTACCCTGAACACCCTATAAAAACTAGCAACACATTTTCCCTCAACATCCACACTCATTACACATTTTCCTTCTCCCCCCCCCCCCCATATAATGATCATCCTCTGATATACAACATAGGTACCTGGGTTTTGTTGTTGCTGTTGTTTCTCTCCTTGTCTACAATGTAGCTTTTAGACATAGAATGTATAGGCTTGAGACTGTATCATTTAGCCTTTTC